GACAGGATGTCCTGATTCCCCAGGAGGCTCAAGTTATTATTCCTGCCAACCTCTTAGCACCTCACAACTCATCCTCCATTTCCATGTCACATGAACAGTGAACACCACATTTACATGCCCAGCCGTCTGTGGAAGGACAGGCACCCTGTCATGGGGTGCTCTCAGAAGCTTCAGGGCTGTGTCTGAAATGGCCCTAAATCCAGCTAGCAGCACAAGGACTAGGGAAGCTGAGCTCAAAAAACAGATTTTACAGTGGCAGGCAGCACGGCACAGACATAAAGCACAGGCAAGACCTGTCCCCCTTGCGGAGATTCTCTATGGGCTGCCCCAAAAACAATCCACACAAGCGACCGTGATCAGCTTTTACCTACATGGGGTGGTATTTCTGAAACACATGGTGAGAAAAGGGCATTTTAGAAACAACAACTCTGCAGCACATCATGTTCTTGTTCAATATTATAATGTCAAACTACACCCCTGAGAGCTGCTTTGGAAAGGAAAGCTTACATATTGTCCTCCACAAAGAGTATGCTGGAACAACAATGTTTCATAAAACATTAACACCAAAATATACAAATCATCCTTGTATTTGTTACATTAAAATCATGCCTTTTTTTTTTAATGCTAGCACCAGCGGCAGTATCAATTTCTAACTATTCCCTTCCTTGAACACTGTTACTGCTAACAAAACAGGGACAACAGTTGAAGACAAGCAAGCTTGTTTTACTAAATAATGCGACTAGTTATTTTTGATGTATTCGTCTGATTTACTGTTCCCAAACAAATTTTTCATCTTAAGTGCAAAAAGTTGATTTCTATGGTCTGGTTGATGTTTTTTCATGCATGCAAATTTTGTAGAGAACATTTTTTCTTTAGCTTCCTGTTATGCATATTTTTAAGAGCTTAATGTTCACTACCTCCACTTAATAAGAAAAAATGTTGCATATTTTGGTGAATGTCAATGACAGAGTTATAAAAATCCAGCCAAAACTGTACTGGTACTGTGAGTAGGTATCAGCAGAAAACCACCCTATACAGCAAAAGTTTAATTAATATAATGCAACCAATGAAATGGAAATTCCCCAAAATACAATGTGAAGGGTAGGAAACTCAACTACAAGAAAATACTGAATTAAGAAAGGCTTCTGTATTTAAAAGGTAACTAAAATAAAATTTGAAAAATAGATAATAAAATAAAACAAAAAACATAAAATAAAATAAAATAAAATAAAATAAAATAAAGTAAAATAAAATAAAATAAAATAAAATAAAATAAAATAAAATAAAATAAAATAGTCTTACAGAGGCTTCCTAATATTATTTACCATTTATTTAGGTCAGTTAATAGGAGTTTTGTCTCATCAGGCAGGAGATGAAGCAGCATCAGCCTCCCTCCCTAAGCACCTTCAGTATTTTACTAACGAAGTTATAGTACATCAGAATATTTTAATCTGACACAAAGAACAACAATAGATCTGACTGCTGGCCTGATAATCTTCTTATCACACCCTGTGAAACCTAGCTCTAATATTTGACTGAGCCTCCATTACTCGGCAACACATTCTAAAAAGGCCAACAATGGAGAGAGAATGAAGTGGAGTGTGGAAGTACCTCCATATCTACATAAAAGAGATTAGAGGCGACAGCGTTCCATTTTACAGCTCAATCATATTGTGTTAGCATGCGCTTATCCGAGCGCGGATGAAATTGAAAGAGAAATAAAAAAGAGTCAGGCAGATAGGAACCATAAAAGCGAGGCATGAGCAATTTCCAAGGATATAAAAGGATGCTAATGGCGGGGCCCTGTCATTCTTAAAAAGGGCTATTAGGGCACCATCATCTGTTCTTGTGCCCTTACGCCTCTCTAACTAAAGTCAAGCATTTCCTAATGCCATTGTGATCTTTTTCTTCTTCAGATAAGACATGGTCATGTTTCATAACAACACACTTTCCATTTATTTGATTTATAAATGCAAGGAGACTAATTCTATTTACTGATAAAGGCTTTCCATATATATTTTTCTTTCAATATTTCCTTTTGTATTTGGTATAGACTTTTTGTTCAATAAAAGCAACTATTGAAATATTTCCAATACAACAAAAATACTAATGATTTTATGAAAGGACTTGAATGTTGTATAATTTGAAAACATTTTTTAGTCTGTGACTGAAATGGGAAATGGTTGGCTGGGGCAGAATGAATATTGCATTGTTACATTTTTGTAGATAATCCTATTAAAAGGCTTCTTTTAAGAGCGAAAACACTGCTTTGGTTTCCTCCATAAAGACAAATTTTACATTGCAATGCTTTAGAATTGAGATCTTTATTAGTTATTAAGCACCTGATATATAAGGGCCTTTAATTACACTGAACCTTAAGAAATCACTATAGTAAAGAAAGATTTGCTGATTGCTGCTTTGCTGTGCTAGGCACAAATTCACTACTGGTGTAATTAATCGACTCTACAAGATTTACACCAAGGGTTTACTTAGTCTGCCAAGCTACAGTGAACTTTTATGCAATTTGCACCCCTTTCCTAATTCATCCTTTTCCCCATCCCGTTATGCTTCTGCCCACAGTAACATTTGTTAGTTTTGCAAACAGGCAGCACTAATGCAGGCTCTTCCAGACGCTGTTTTGTAAAAGATATCAGCTGAGCGTAGCCAGTCCAAGTTCATCAGTCCAACATTCAAAACCAAGCTACAAAAGCTCATTGTATTTGCCCTTTAACCCTTTAGCATGTCCAGGCCTTTTGCATTTTGATTTTTGTGATCAAATGCCAGACAACAGGCACAGATTTTATCACTGTCCTCTGTTACCTGAAGGTAAAAAGACTGTCTTTATTTCCTGGGGCTTTTTTAAAAAATGAAATCAGGTAAGTACACTTACCTTTAGTACAAAGTAACATCAAACCTACACTGTAGGTGTGGTTTGAGGTTACTTTGTACTAAAATGCTGTCTTGTGGCAGCTCCTCGAGCGGCTCAGATTTTAAATTTTCATGGCCAGTTTAAGGCATCCAATACCTTTCCCACACTAACCAAAGCCATCGTTTTAAAGGCTGTTCAGTCTCATCCCTCTGCTCTTCCCATCTCCCCAGCCAAATCCAAGCAACACAGCATATTCACAAACAAGACTGACTAAAGTTCCCCAGCAACTTCTATGGAGCATGACTGACTTCTTTGAGAGCTACTCTATTTTGGTTAAGGTGATCTAGGTATCTTCCAAAGATGAAACTCAAACTCACCTGCTTAACTCATTTTGACTTAATTTGGGGTGCTTTATTAGCAACCAGTGTAAGACAAAGTAGCTCCTATAATATAGAGTGATGTTTAAATTAGTTTACAATTTGCTTGGGCTCATCTAGAACTGCTCTGAACAAAGCCATTCAGAAATGTCAGCTGTGTTCCTAACCACTGTAACAAATTGTTGCCTGAACGCTGCACACCTAATGACTTCAAATTAGCTGCACTGCGATATTGCCTGACAGTTCGTTACGACTGTTAGCAACATAGCCGGCGTATCATGACCAATAAATTGGTTTCAGTGTGGGCTGGGAAAGGGACTTCCATCAATTTGATTAAAGAAATTACTGTAGCATTCAAAGCATAAAGACAAACTAGTTTAAGGAGACAGAAATAAGTTAACTGTACCAGAAAAACATTGCTTGTGATACAAGAGCTTGTTTATGCACTGTTTGAATGACTAAATTTCAACTGATTATTTTAGAGTCTGTAGGCTGTTGTCTTTACTCTGAAGTAAAAAAAACCAACACTTCATAAAGGTAAAAATTATCATTATTCTTTGATTGTGTTTGCATATATATTGTGTTTATATTTATCCAAGATGACCGGGAAGAACTGGTAAGAAGAAGGGGGGAAAACCAAACAGCAAGAATATTTCTTTGCAATTTATTTTGAAACTACAAATAAAATATCTTTAACTCTGATAAACAAACAACTGACTGGATTATTTATTCTACTATTAAGGTGTCCCAAAATCACAGCTAAAATGAGAATGACTTATTACTCTGAGGAATGAAAGGTTATCCACTCTCATGCTTAATAAGGCTCCACTATCAAAATTAGAAAACTAATGAGGTGATGAAAACACACCAACACGCTCACTCATCTGCTGGACAAGAAAAATACCTTAAGAAACAAGAGAAAAAGCTGACCTTTTTTTGTGTGACTTTACCGTTTGTGAAAGGTGGTAGACTGAGAGCCCTGGAGACTTCTGTAAGTTTGTCTGCTAGTTCACAGAGCAAGAACACCTCAGCACTAGGGAGGGGCAAAAATACACCTGAAATGTTATCTGAAGGAACTGCTAATCTTCTGAGAAACTGCTTTTGATGACCCCCATTTTTCTGGCTAATAAGATTGCCAGTCAGCTTTTATAATATCAGTGCATTTATGTGATGCAGACTGCAGTCCATTCCATGAAGACCAAGGAAATACTAAGTTGTAGGAGGAGACTTTTTGGGATAATTCAGTTATTTATAATGAATTGCTGGCACAGTTCAGTTCTCACACTAGATCAAGTCAATGGAAAGAACAATTCCTCTGCGCCTTGCCAAAATATAACTGAATTTTTTACCTCCTGTGGTCAGTAGTGGCGCATTTGCCTAACAGAGGAGCCAGACTTACATTCAAATACTGCTGAATCAGATGACTACAGACGAGAGGACTTGTATGACCCTTTTTGCCAGGCTAATGCTCTGGAATAGCAAGGGAAGTTTATCTTAATAATAGCAATACATGAAAAAAAATTCTCTAAGCAGCATGTGAAACTTATTAACATAGTAACACTCACAGCAACAACACTACTACTTCCAAGGTAAGATACCTGACCATCTAAACTATGTCATGTGGGAATATTCTGGAACCTTAGGAAAAGTTTATGCATTGTAGGGAGAGAAGAAAGTTGTATTTTTTACCAGCACAGAATAACCCATGCAATGATTTCTGTACATTAGCTATTTGCAATAAATACTGTATGTACCTGGAATATGCTTAGCCCATCCAATGATCACCACCAGTTCTCTGTCTGCCAGGTCACAAAGAGTGGTAAGTGCTTTGATGTCACTATCTGGAACAGTGGGGTCAGGCATAGCATAGATCTTCTCTGGTTCAGCCACCAGCAAATGGGAGACAATCTTGTTATCTGTAAAAATGGTCCAGAACATTACAAGATCACCAGCAGCATCATTCTACACTTTAAACAGATGGCTCAGATTTCAAAGTGCACAAAAATTTGTCTTAAGACACTGAACCTAATTACACCTTATTGTAACTTCATGACCTCCTACAAGTGGTTACAGCACAAACAAATCTGATCTATTAACAATGTTTATTAAGCCAGCCATGTATGTTCTTAAATAATAAATTCAACAGAACATAGAAATACATGATCCTTGTTTATTACTGGAGTACAAACATAATAGGAAAAGATTAATGCATTACAGGACATTTTGTATTGTTCAAATAGAAAAGTTTTGCCTTAATTTTATTACCTGCAACTCACCCCACCCCTTAAAGAAGGGTATTTTTGAGTGAGTAAATACCATATGCAATTAGTCAATCTCTGAAACCTGTAACTTCTGTCACTGACCCAAACTACCATTCTTTACCTACAAACCCAGACTAATGATCTCCTTCTCATTTCTGAACAGGAAAAAACGCTAAAATCAAAGCGAAAAAAGAGTGTAAAACTAAGCAAAGTATGAAAGTATGCAAACTCTACCACAGAAAACTGGTTTTGTGCATGGAATGATACTTTATCGTAGTCACACATTGCTTATTTTCATATATATAGCATTTCCATTCACATGTTAAACATTTACTTTTTTATTCAGTTGACTTGTGACATCTATTTGGAATAATCAATTAAGTTATATGGAAAAATGCAGAGAAGAAAAAAGGAGAAGAGCCCACAAGATTTACAATACAGTGTTGCTATTCTGTAAGTAGGATAAACATAATATGAGCACTATATCCATGTGAAGGCACGATGGAAATATTTTATCTCTATACAGGGGCCTGATTTATTACTCTGAGAAGGCAGAACTGAAAAATGGGAAAAGAACTAATTAATTAAGCCTCCTAATACAGGGTACATTACCACACTTCCCAATATATATACATTTTACTTTTGCTGGTAGGTATATCTTTTGACCTCAAATGCACCATCAAAATTTAAAGCTCAAACGGCACCCCTTAGTGATTTTACATTAATCTGTTCCCTTCAGTGAGATAAAACATTATAAGGCTTGATATAAATGGGATTCCACTGTGAGAAGACACCAAGTATTTTCTGAGTGCAGAGAATGCTGCCAGAATTAGTATCATTTTCCCCATCTGCATCTAAGCCACAGGACAGACCACACTGCTCTCCTGCAATGGAAGCTGAGTGGGATGTGACTTGCCCAGCAGTGTTGATGCCTTGTCAAGGCTGACCTAGATCACAGGCTAGGCAGAGTCAAAGAATAAAGCAGGTATTTATTAAAAGGCCTCAATGATACATCTTGGACAACACAAGAGCCCAGCCAGGGCTGCACACAAGATGGATCCAAAATAGTCAACCAGTCCTGAGGTAAGTTCTAGTCCATTAGCATATTGGAGTTAATTGTCCAATTATAACTTTAGGTTATGAAGTCCCATCTTTCTTGTTTTTTCTCTCTTCAGTCCACATTGTATATGCTCTTGGGCCTGAAATTTGGATCAGTTGTCCTTGGTCCCAAGCTAGAAATGGAACTGTTTTGCCTACCTACTCTGTGAAGAGAGCTTACTATCCCTTAATATGAAGCTCAGAACTGCACACTAAAGCAGTACAGAATCTGAAAAATATGCAAGCTAAAACCCAAGACATCAGTGTCAGAAAGGATCCCTATTAGTCCATTGCATATTTCCATGAAATGCTCACTTGATTCAGATTTCTGATACTTTACTGCTCTTTAGTGACACAGACTCCTTGACTCTGATCTACTGTCTCTGCAATTTTTGCCTTATTCCAAATTTGTGTGTCAGAAGTTGTGATATATGATAATCCTTCATATAAGTGTAAGAGCCAACTGGAAACCATTACATCAAGCTTGTTTTATTACAAGGGAATGTATTCATGCTTTATATGAACTATAGGAACTATGCCAACTGATGCAAGTTTTTATCTCAATAGTTGACTGATTATCAAATTGATTAATGAGGAATTCTATTCTTATTTACAAATGACAGATGGTAGTTTTAGCTTATATTGGCAAACAGCCTTTGCACTTTTAAAAAAATTTTCAAACAGTCTTTTCATAACTTGTTTTTCAATTTCACACAGAAAACATGTAAGTGAGAAAAGATAACATTACTTCTTTTCAAATTCCCATTTTTAATGGGTTAGAAAAATAGGATAAATTAATTAAGTGTTTCTTAACATCCAAACATATGCAGCTGAGGACTTCTACTTTTTGGTTTTTTAAACCATGATAAATGAATGAAGAAGCACTCTCATCCCCAAGTTCTGGGTTTTTTTCCCCTGCAGCAGAAGAAATGGCCAAAGAACAACTTCCACTCGTGTATGAGGCTCCTCACCAGAGGCATTCCATAGATGATTTAGAAATATTGTTTATTTGGACTCAGGATTTGCAAAATCTCAAATCCTTTTTATTTTTGCAGTCAATGAAATCTACAGCTGGGCCATTAAATTCTATGGTGAAGCTGGAAAATACAACAGAGACAGAAGTAGGCGTAGAAAAGATCCTCCAAACGCCTGTTCCTTCCTTACAGAGGGAAAAAGCTACATGTATTGGCACATGCATTAGCACAGAACATAGAAAAATTCTGAATGTACTCAGAAAACTCCATCACTCAGGAAATTGAATAGCCATGAGCACTGTTTCAAGGTAAATCTTATTTAATGTTTCCCTAATTAAAATCAATAGAACCCAATTTTCATTCCTGTGCCTTTGTTACACACAAACTATCAGTCAGGGTCCAGAAAATCTCCCAGGCTACTTCCACACAAAACTGATTCAACTGTTTCAAGTCTGGACACTTATCTGCCAGGATTTTAAAATTAAGTTTTAAAAATGTTTATGACAAAATTGTTTGTACTTGGACAAGCTAAGAAAAACAGAGGGAAGCACTCAGATAATGAGTAATGATTTATGAGGAGGTTAGTTTATCTCAGACAACTGGAGCTTACAGAAATCGGTGCAGTTATCACCTTATAGGTAATGTAATGCACCATATTGCAATAATCTTGGGTTTACACAGAGATTCTTGTATTTCAGTACAACTGCATTAACCTCTGTTCATATCTTAAGGGCTTGGGGCTTTTGGGTTGGATTGGTTTTTTTGTCTGTTTGGTCTTGGCTTTTTTGATATGTTAGGCTATCAACATTCTACTCAATGACAATATCAAGTAAATGAAAAACTGACAATCTGTGCACCCAGGAAAACTAAACCTCTAATGAAATTAAGCATTAGAGTTTATTAAATTTTATTGTATTATCAGAAAGTTTTTATTATAATGTGCAAAATCTGCTTAGTGCAGCCCTAGATTGTATTTACAGAACAGTGGGACAGCTTATGGAGGCTGAGTAGAAGATGCCAGATTGGACAATTGAAGGAATATAATCAGCATAATGTTTTTTGGAAAGGCAAAAGGAAACTATGCCATATGTTCACTTAAGCCTTAATTTTATGTAAAACTGGCTGTTTTTTCTTTGACACAGCTAAAATGCCCTTTCACTTACAGTTCAAAGACTGTTTATTTGCTCTCCAGATCCCCATATGCTCAAACGTATTGTACACAGCACTGTCCCCTACTGGGGAACACCATCAGAAAAAAATTCCATTTTCCATCCAGCCAGGTATTTTCGAGGGGCTAAAACTGACATGTGTGCTGTCAGAGGCTTAGGGGCAGAGGCAAAAGGGAGACAAGAAGGAATTTGACCTCCTTATTTCACTGGCTTATTTATCCATGTTAGGAGTAAATTAACCTCCACAGCAGGAGCAACTGCATTGTGTATTCCCATTTGAATTTGGAAGAGTTTGCAACACTTGATACAGAGCCTGTGTGTCGTTGTAGGGTAATACACCAGCCTCTTGCACTACAGCTATAATGCTATTAAATTTACTTCATGGAATTAGTACAGTCACTGCTTGAGTTTATATAAGCTGCAAAGCAAAACCCCTAACTATTTTTAGTTAATCGCAAAGAGGATGGACTTGTATTTTAGCAGTGAGATGATCATCTCTTTCTCTCTTAATTTCAGCCTGGAGAGATACAATCAAGGACATTATTAAAACATAACAAAACAAAGCAAAAAAGAAATCCATGAGGGTACTAGAGCCCAAACTACCACTTTCTGCTTTGTTATTAGTGTGGCATATTGCTGTTTTAATCTAATACTAGGTAGTGTATTAATCTATAGGTATGAATTAATGAGGCTCTTAATGTATTTTCATTGGGAGGTTGAGCAGTCAAACTCATTTAGTTAGTGAAAACTACAAAAATCACTTTCTTGTGAAATCTGAAAGTAGAAGCTTCAATGAGCTAATGATCACAGTATGAACCATTTTATGTACCACTGAAAATAAAGATAACCTGTAAATGTAAAATTTGCACTGCATAAACCATGCTTTTATACACTTCCACCTGTAAAAACACTCTTTGTTCAACTCTGCTTGAGAAAGATGAGCGTATTTAAAACAAAACCTATTAACAGCCAAATCGATATAGTCTTCATGGTAATATTTTCTGACCAAACCCTTGTTGAACCCAGAAGGAGCTCAGCAAACAGGGCTAGGAGTCAACAGCCTGTACTGAGAGAGAAATGCTGTGTATGGGGTGTACTCACATGGCTTTTTTGCTGGCTGAACTAGCTGAGGGTTCAGGTATGGGCTGTTCTCTGCATCTATTCTGCGCTTGTACTTCTGGCGACCTCCACGTACTCGGTCTAGGCGCACACCTACATTTGGAAACACAAGCAAACATATAATTAAATACATTATGAGCATGCCTTTCAGGTAGAAATCTTCTATTTCCTGACTTCCAATATTTATATTAAAAGCATGTTTATTTCAAAAGATTAATTTTAGAAAGCATGGGAAATCAGCATTACAAGTATTTGCAAGCAGTTTAGAGTTCCACGCATGCAAGACTAAGTATACAACATAATTTCCTGTTCATTTAAAAACATTCATTCATTTTTACATATTATTAAAAACAGCTAGCAAGTTTAGTTTCCATTTGAAAGAGCCTAATCTTAAGTCATCTTTGCCAGAAGCAGAATTTCAAAGCTGTAATAAACACCATGGATATAGAAGCATAACATTATGAGCAGAGAAGTACAGAGTATTAGGACTTTAGAAACAATGAGTCCTGTATACAGTTTAGATAGTCAAAGCCAAACATGGCCAGACATGGCCAGAGGATACAGAGTAAGTATCCCTTGAAAAATAAGAATATATATGTGGCTTAAAGACTGAAATTGTTCATGAGGATTTGAAAGAAATTGTACAGTTGTGCATTTAGATGTCATCAGTGATGAATTAACATTTGCGTTCTACCTTCATACTGTTCATTCCTTCAATATAGCATTCTCCTGCCCCATTTGTACGGATATATAGAAATCTACCTTCCTGAAACAAGCTATAGCTGTTCTCATTGGCAAAATGAAACAGGTGAAAGGGTGCAAAGACAGTAGGTCTTACAAAACAAGGAAATATTTTCATTTCTTTCTGAGTCACCGAGGCAGATTTCCAGACAGCCTGGATGAACGTGACTAAAACCAAGCAGTAACATAACACGGAAGTTGAAGAACTTGGCACATATTCAGGACAACAGGACAAGTAATACCAAGCACAAAATCTGTCCCTGGTGACATGGATTTAATAACACAAGAATGGAAGGACACATGAAGTATCAATGGCCCCTGTGAGCGATGTAGTAAAGCACAACTAACATTCTCACTTTTCTTTTCAATTGTTTATTTCAGCTCTCCGCCTCTATGTCTATTTTCTATTGCTATTATTGTGCCCCTCTCTTTACTTCCCATCCCTCTGATCTCTCCCTTACACACAAAATACCACAAGAACTGGCTTCTGGACAGCAAGAGAAGCCACCATCAAAGAAATTGTTCATGTGCACAGCAAGAAGAACACAGCACAAAGTTTATGTGCTGCCTCTGAACCTGCACAGGTAGCACAGACTAGATACCAGGAAACATCTGTCAGTCCTCTTTCCTTCCCAGAAACCAAAAATTTTGTAAAAGAAAACTGTTTTGTGTTTTGCCAACTAGACAGAAATCCAAGGCCACTATTTTTGGGGTGGTATTGCTTTTTTTTTTTTTTTTTTCCCCTGCTTGTATTTCCTGGGTTACTAACACAGAAAGGACATGCTTGCTTTAAGGACACAACAAACACCTGCAAGTATAATTCAGTGAGTTGTATCCAACAGTGGTCAATAGCTTTTGCTCATCAGGAAAGCAGGTAATGACCACCCCTACTTAACAGTGAAATTTCACCTGGTTTACTGCAGAAGACAGTCCATCAAACTCAAGAAGTACATTTCTTACTGTATGTCTCCAGTGGCATTTATGGGGATCACAAGACTTAAATAGTAACACAAATGAACCACATACCCCAAGAGGTCAGTGCATAATTATGAAGGAAATCTTATTTATGGTAGTTACCTATGTAACTTGTGACTGATTTGTGGTCTAAGCTTTTAGATAAATTTTTTGCTGATTCAATCAACACAGCACAGTTCGCTTTGTTTTTATTCTTTTTAACTTATACCTAGAAATGCACAAACTACAAGACCACTTTAAAAACTGATAGCTCAAACCTTTCAGAACTAATGATAACTCACTGTTCTTCACACTTGAATTGGGAGTTTGAGCTACACCTGAAGCAAATGACATCCAGGACAATACACTGCCCTAAAAACAAACAGCAGAAGACCAAGGTTTGACAGTTGAATATTCAGAAATAGGCAGAGGATTAGAACAAGCCACATGCAATATTGGTGGGATTATGAAAAAGACTGCCCAGCATTTGAAGAAAAATAGATAGAAAATGATTTCTGCATAATTCAGATGCCATCCTTCTTTCTGCTTGGGAACAGATTTCATAGTGATAAAAGATGGATAGCACCAGACATAAGTATGTTTAATCAAAAAGTAATGGAACTGAAGCTTAAATTAAAATAATATAAATCTACCAAGATGAACAATTTTTTTACCTCCTTTGCATTAGATGAGATACACATTCAAGCCATTCACATACTCAATGGAAGGAAATACAGAAAAATGTCAAAATAGCAAAATTTTACTTAGATCCATGCCCTCACCTAATACACGTTGCTTTATCTGTAAATAAAGATTTCTTTTAAAAAACCCTAACTTCTAGATAACTGGGGAGCATTTGTATTGCACAATTTAAAATTACCTAAGTCTATAATAGAACTAATTAAAATTTTAATGTGAAAATAGTTTTTATAACATAACATCAATAGACTACAAATCAGAGCTTTATAACCCATCCATTAAAATTGATAGAGTTTATCATCATTTTGGCTCCTAATATTTCCTTTATCTATAAGAAATCCTATACCTATATTTTTCTGTATCTGTATATATAAGAAAGTAGATACTTTGGATTTAATTTCTGATAACCTAACACACCCTACACGTGGTGTTTTACTTCCCAAGGATCTTTATAGAAGTAAGCACAGTGCAAGACACTGCTTAACAAGCTATACCCATCTGATATTCTATAAAAACTTTGGAGTTTAGTAGGTAGCAAACTGAAATCCAGATGTTCCGAAGTATATCTGTGGATATTCCTCTGTAACTCCTATAGCTTGTATGAGAGAATTCATTATATAAATGTTTATTTATCAAGACAGAAACGCTCAAGACAGTAGCAACTGATGCCTCCTTTGCTAGAATAACAAAAGGAAGAAATAAAAGTAATTTTGTCCACAAAAATCCTCATTTGGGGCAGGAGGAGCTTTACATCAGTCACAGACATAACTGTTTGAATTCCACACAGTCTGTATTCAGATTATTTAGGAGGATATTGTGTCATTTGGAGAAATTGAGTAAACCTCTGCTTCAGCTCTGCTGTGCATTGTGGCTTCACAAAATCTTCAGTATCTCAGTTTGCTCACCCAATCAGTCCTCAACCATGAAGTGAAAAGAAAGATACCCACTCCACCCATAAAAAATTATGTAATACCTCCCAATGAACTGCATTACATGTATTACAATTATAGTTCTTCAGGGTCAAAATATCCATTCATGTCACTGAACACAGCTCCACCGCAGACAAGACAATGTGATTCTTCGCATTTCCTAATGCTCATTTGAAAAGCCTTCAACAGAGAGAAAAAACACCAAGAGCCCTAATGGGAAAAACAGGGATGACCACAGGGTAGAAATAGGAAAAACAGGCTTGCTACCAGTTAAGAGAGCAGTTACTTTCAATGTTAAAGTGCAACACGTGCACTTTACATCTCAGGACAAGCACAACTCATGAACTCATTTGCTCAGGAGAGATGGGTGGTCAGAGATTTAGACATGCCTTAGAAATCTCAGATGATATGTGTTGGGCTGTAGAAATGCAACATAGGGAGAGATGGAAACTGTGTAACTCAATGCAATAGCTACTTTTTTAAACAAAGCAATTACATGTACTGATACAACGTAAGAAATTCTCCAGCTATTCTTAAGGGAATAAATGCTTATAATAATAGTCACTACATAAGCTTCTACAAAAAAGTCTGCCTCCTGGTTCCTTACATAATCTTTGCAGGATTTCTATCAAATGCTACACAACACACAACCAAATCACTCTGCACTAAATGTGTCCACACAACCTTGCAAAGAAACAACTGAAGGCCAGAGCAGAAGTGCCACATGAGCTACCCATCAGGTTATTAAATCTAAACAACATAGCTAAACCTGAACTCATTTTCTTTGTATTTCCTCACCTGTTTCTACCTTGCCAATAAATGTAAATTATTATTCGTATTCTGTGGTTCTTTCCTCACTCTGCCTTGAAGACCTCATGGAGGACAGATACCCACAGTGATGATGCTACATAACCAAAAGGATTGGCCATAGCCCAATATATTATTGACTTTGCAATTCAGGTCCTCAGTATGAAAACACTATTTAACCATGTCATCTCATTTTCCATACAGATCCAAGCCACATTAAAAGTGTATTATTTACTCCTTTTATCTATTATTTATCTTTTTATCCACCGCTAGTTACTCCTTTTATCATCCATCTCTATTATTCTTCTCCATCACCTCCTTCTTACCTTGGCTACAAGACTCCATTGTTCATTTGTTCACCTGACCCACATTCTTGGCCTTTCCACAGCGCTCTATGCCCACAAGAAATTCTCAAGCTCAACTGGAAGGCATTAGCCTAATCCTTCAAATCAAGTCCTACCAACACCAGGACTGCCTGTAAGAAATTGTTCACTACCTTTAATTGGGGAGCTTTTTGTTTGAGGAAAGCAAAAATTTACTTAATCAGTAAACAACAGGTTTGAAATCAGACTGAAACGTGCAATTTTTACTTCCTTCAGGAATTTCGCGTTCTGCTCCCTTCCTGTTTCCCCTACATAACAGTCTCATGGCAAGCTGATATGTTCTACATCAATGCTGCCCTGGCAAGCTCCACCTCTAACACAGCATTTGATATGTATGAAAAATATCTCATTTTTTGAGATATGTAACTGGCTAACAAACCATTTTCTACAGATGTCTGCAAGATCCCCAGCACTGTCTTCAACAGTGAGACAGGTAAAAATGAATGCCCACATAACTGCATCTTGCCAAGCTCTGGAGGAACATTGGTAGCAGAGGTAAAAAAACTCTGGCAAAACTGGAAAGCACAAATATAGTTTTAATGGCAGGTTCCATTGTGGTTCTCCTTTGGGACAATGCCTT